ATTTTGATGACAAAGGATTTTAAGATTAAAAAAAGGACAGGTGAAGTTACCCTAATAACGACTGTATTCCATGTGCCATAATTTCTGGCAAATAATATCTAGCAGTTTAATTAAAATAAAAGTTGAATGAATGTACATTGAGTTTATTTCCCTGGCGCTGAAAATTTTACATATTGTGACACAGCAATGAAATTCTGATAATAATATATTATTTTTTTTAAATATAAAATTAAAATGACAATAGTTACCTAACTAAACTCATTGAATACAATAGAGTTAAACATTAGTTCTAAAACTCTCCCCTTCACATATAATTCTGCACAGTATCAGTGACAAGTAACAGTCTCTAGAGCGGAGAGAAAAAGGATGGTGTAGTTTATGGAGACAAAGACTGTGGTGAAGGATTCCACTTTCAACATCAACTCTGGGAGCAAGACTGTTTAGCTTCAGCCTGTGGTAGGAATGATTGCAACCTAGTCCAAGTCCAAGTCTCTTACAATGATATCAGTGTTGCACAATAGGTTCACCTTGTTGCCTTCGATTCCTTCCTAATTTCTTCTTATTTCATATTCTTTAAATTGAATTTTCAAATTCTTCTTTTTAGAATTCACACCTGTTTAAATGCGATGCTTTTGTAAAGACTCTATGAATTCAACATCAATTTAATTTTTTTCCTAGTACAAAGCTTAGAACTAACATTTTGTAAGATGAATTCACAGTTCAGAAATATTTTAATATGTGGTTCTGTTGTTGACATAGAAATTCTATATATGTTTCCGTGAAGGTCCAGTAAAAAGAGTGAGTTGACAAAGCAATTGATAATATTACATAATGAAAATTATTTTATAAGGCATTTACATTATCTCTTTCAATCACTATGACAGCATAAAATAAAATAACCCCCAATTAACCCTATGACACGAGGGCAATACAGTTTTTTTTTAAAGCAAATACAATTTGTTTTCAAGTTGTTTTGATGTTTAATAACAGTTTGCTATTATTTATATCTTTATGTGCTTCTTTGATCAGATACAAATTTTAGTAGGGAAATAAGCAGACATTTCTAAAAATGAATTACAAACAATTTTGTTTTAGAATGGTAAAAGAAGTTTTAAAACTTCAATTCAGCAAAGTTAATATCTTCTCCCAATTGAAATAATAGAAAAACAAAAGTGTAGACATTTCGTGGCTTGGGGGAAATGGTCTTCATGCCCCCAAGGTCATGTTTCTTAGCAGCCATTGTTGGGATCTGCTTCCACTACAGTCCTGCATGGTAGGCACCATTTTGTCTTCTTCAGAAGGTTCATCGAGACATTGGTTACTGTTAATGTGTCTCAAGGTGAGTCTCTGTAAAAGATAATCAATAATCAGTGCAGCCTAATTTATCTTTAACTTCACTAGCACATCAGATTAAATCTGTTCTTTAAAAAGTGCTTTATAATTTTATTAGTATAATACACTGTTATATGTTTGTAAAAGGAACTGTGCACAGGTGTTTCTGGATTAATTATTATACTACCTTGACTGTTATGAAGTCATCATTGTCTAATATACCTTTATTTGCAGATGGTTAAAGAAATTGGCTGACATTTACCAAGCGTTGCCAAGAATTCAGGCTCCACTGCAAAATGCCCATTTGTGAGCTATGAGTTCAGTTGAGGACTGCAAATATTAACAAGCTTTTGCAAAAGCTTAGTTTTCTTAGGCATGTGTTATTCAGTAACCATTTGGTAAACATGCAAATAGATGGCACAGCTGTGACCTAAATGAACAAGACTGCTAGAGATGTTCCCATTTCAAAATACTAAACAAACTATAGTATTGTGACTGTAAGACATTCATTGTAGAAGAGTGACAATTACAGCAAAAAATAATCTGTCTTTTTGATAAAATGCTCACTATATTTTTGTCTGCATTTTTAAGAATTATAAAAAATATCAGTTAAAAACAGAAGCATGGTGATCATATATTTAAATGTTATATTTATTTTCTTCGTAATTCCAATAATTGATCATGTTAACTAGTCATTATATGTCTTATCTTTGGCGTTCCTATGTACATTTGAAATCACATTATTGGACATTCCAGACATACGTTTTACATCTATATACTTTATACATACTAATTATGTGTAATTCTGCTCAGCTATATGGGCAATGCCCAGAATCATATTTCATGTAAAATTCTTCAACCAAAAGCCATGTATTTGAATGCATGGGAGATGATTTGCAGGTATATCTTGAAAATAGCACTCCAGATAATTTTGGTGCAAATTATCAAGATTAAAGTTAAACAGAATCTTTTGACTTTTGATGATAACACATTGAAAACAGAATGAAAATAAATGTCGGTGGTGGGTAATAAAAATGGTAGAGAAAAACCAGTCAGCCCATTGTAATTTGCTTAGATTGGGACTGAAAACACGCTGTACTGCACTGTGGTAAGAAAAAGTAGAATGGAAAATAAGCTTGTGGTAGAAGACGACAAGAAGCAGGAAATTAAAAGAACAAGGCTATTAGATGTGAAGGAAATTTCAAGATTGAGGTCTTTGTTGTTATACTTTCAAAACATGAAATCAAACTACTTATGCTAAAAAATGAAGAAATGGTCAAAGATAGACAAGAAGATGATTGACTTATGCTTATGATGCCAGAGATTCAACCTACAATCAGTTTGGAAAAAATAAAAAAAAGAAACAAAACCAAACCAATTTTTTTTCCTAAAGAGTTCTAGTTAAACTCAACAAAACATTCTTCAATTTTGTTACATACCTGTGGTCCTTTGTGTATATATTCTCTTTCAAAAATATCATTTACCATTGCTTCTATTAGATCCTTTGTTTAAAAAAGAAGTATGATTTTACATATGTCAGTTATGTCATTTCCTATTGAGCTACCTTAGAAAGCACTGCCACTGTCTCACTGTAATCTGATCAATTTTTAGTTACCTTAGGCCACAATATAGCACAGACGCTGAGCTTTTTTCATAATCATATTGAATATGTGTTGTCAACTACAAAAATAACAATTTAAAAAATATTAATTAGCATTCTTAAAAAACGCATAATTTCTTTGAAGCAATTCGTTAATAGCCAAAACTCACTGCTGCAGAGATACCAAAGAAACGATCAAAAACTTCTCCTTGTTAATATAGTGCAGTAGAATACCAGAAATTTTAGTCTCAGACCTAAGTTTAAATTCCTGTTCCCCCACTTACTAGTTGTGAACATTTGAGCAAACTACCAAATTAGTCTAAAGAATCAGATTCTTTGTCAAAAAAATAAGTAATTATACTTACAAATGCTTACAAATATCCTGCCCCCTTCTGTTTAAAAATTTCAACTATCTCACATCTTTATAATAAAAAAAAAATTCAACTACGCAACTGATTTCTTGACAACCTGAGAAGAGTAAAAATATTAACTGTGTTTCTAGGCAACATCGTTTATGTTAAAAAATTACCTCTGACTGATCAACTGCATCTGTATCTGATAAACTGCAAATAAATACCTGATAGAAAACTGAATGCTGGGCTTCCCTAAGTGCAAAGACTCTTGTAATTTTGCATGTTTTATTGGGGTCCTGAGAGCTAGGCCTATGAAGCTGTTACAGGAGATATCATCTGTAAGGATAAGGCTTTTAAGCCAGGATGGTTTCCATGTCTGCCTGATGTGGAACTCATCTTGGAACAGGCTGTCACCTGTGTGTAGAAGCTAGCTCCCAGAAGCCTGTAAGAGCTGCTGTGGGAATGGCTGCAAGTTCTATTGAGAGAAACAAGCTAGAACTCTATAAGTAATCTTGTAAGAATAATTGGTTAGTTAAGCCAAAAACCGCTTGTTGGACATTGCACATAATAAACTAAGAAAGTATATTTAAATTGTCCTGTTCACAAGTTCTTTTTGTGTAAGAAGTCTGGACTTTTCTTGCTTTACCATCTCTAATGGTTTGGAACATCCATGTCTTGAATGTAGTTCTAATCTAAACAGCACTTCCTTTGTCCCTCCCTCTCCACAACTCTATTCCCAGCTTTGTCACAGGCCTTTGGATCTCAATTGCTTCCTCTGCTAACAATCTGTAACTGGTTCATGGGAACCAGAAAAACACTACAACTTCCCTTGTCTTCTCCTAGTATGGTATTGGACAGAGTAAAATCTTTTATTTTTACTGGAAAATAATTCCCTTAAAACCAAGAACTAGGAACTGTTCTCATTTGTACTCTTTACAAGAATTCTACACCAGTTTGTTGACTTGAAGTGAATGATTGATTTCATTGCTTACTAAAAAGATAGTCACAAATCATACAAATGAAAGATAAAAGGTATAATTTTAAAAAAGGTTTTATTGTTATATCACTTAACTAATCACAAATAAATGCTTAGAAATCATTTTCTTTATGAAGTTTTTGAAAATTACATCTTATTCTTTAATAATGTATTTGATTAGTGTTGCAGATTAAAATAATTACAAATTTTAGAAAGGACATGCTACATCTGCATACAACCAAGATATCTGAATAAAAATTAATAAAATAATTTCATTGTCCCCGAAACAATCCTTTTTGGCCATATAGGTTTTTGTTTTTTTCAGCTTTGATGCAGAGTCTATTGCCTTATAGATATAGCCATATTTAGCTGACAAAAGAGCTAATATTTCAAAATATATTCCATCAGTCATAATGCATATATTTTAAATAAAAAGGTAGAAAATACCTATTCATTAATGATAAACAAAACACTACTTGATATGCACAGTTTCCAAAGTAAAGGACAGAAAAGTAACTTCATGAAAAAATAGTACGTACACATTTTTCTTAACCACATTTTAAATAAGTTTATAATAACCAAACACAAAAAAATACTTAACTACATTTAATAAAGTCTACAACACAAACCTCTAAAAATTATTAGAGAATGTAATCAGTAGAATTCCCAAAAATATTTCTAAAAACTTCCATTCTTGTATAGTTTCTTAGCAGCCATTTTTGCAAAGCACTATCATTACATGTTTCCACAGTAGGATGCTGGGAGCCATCAGCTACTTTGTTCACTGAGAGACAAGACTGGGTGATTATATGAAGAAGAGTGTGGGTCTGTTTGACAAAAAAAATAATGAATAATGACAAAATCAAGTACAAAGGCAGTAATAAATCAATCATCCTGGGCAACATACAATTTCTACTCGATAAGGATGGAAGGCACACGTCACAATAATTGCATCCATGGAGCTGTGAACCACATTTTTTTCAGTGGCTATATCAATCCTATTCAGTAGGAGTAAATGAAAATAAGATTGACAATATAAAGAGGAGTTTGAGATTAAATGATGAAACATTTTGGGCAAAACCTTACTTTAGATAGAAAAGGCTATATTCTTAGTGTTCATCCTATTAATAAAGTATTTTTTAGTACCTAATGAGTTATTTTATGAGTAGATATTCAAAATAGTTGATTATTCCAATCATGGTCCTTGGCCTCCTCATTCATTTGCTCTACAAATAAGTGCTAATCAGGGAAGAATCTGGAGGATAATTTGGCTTTAAAGCTTTGTTTTACTTTGGACAGTACGGTACTCAGATTTCTTTTCTTCCAACTTACGTTTTTATAGCACTAAGGTGGCAGTATTTATAAGGGTTCCACATATGCAATACCATATTCATTAGATGTCAATTAGAAGGTTAATGAGGGGAGGAAAAAGAAGTAAAAAACTATATTTGGGCTCTTAACTTGATCTAACTCTCCAAACAATTTTCATTAATGAATTTATCAGATCCTTGCTCTCCATCTGTTTCTTCTACTGCAGCATAAGCCCCAGAAAGGCCATGGTCCATGGTTACCCACATCATGAAGTCCAATACCTGCCCATCGAAGACACTAAATAAGCTTGTTGATTGAAACGCTTAAGGAAAGGCCAATGCAGAAACAAAAATTCGATTAAAATTAAACTACATCACTTAGGCAGTTTAATGGACACAAATCATTGGAAACACTTTTTCAAGGATTTATCTTCTACAGGAAAATGGTACATAAATAATTTATAAAGATAGGAAAAGTAATATTATAAAATGATACTGTTATCTATATAGCTTGATTTGTTAAGGCTAGTTTATTCATTTATTTTTTAACCAAACCTGAATTTCCTATGCACACCGTTCAAAACTTCCAGGCAAGTTACATTCCAACCTCAGTGATTTTTTTTTCTGGTAATATATTTTTCTAGGTAAATGTCAAGTTAACGTCAAAGATATTAGTGTTAGTGATTGTGAATTTCATTTGTCAATAAAAAGAAAAATGAATTATGAGGTTTTTCATGCCTTAACACAAAAATGTTTTTGTTTAAGCTTCAGAATTGTGACGCCGAGCATGAATACAATATAAAATTTTCATAAGAAACACAACTGCAATGTTTTCCGAAAACTGTTTATCAGCTGAACTATGAAAAATATTTTAAAAACTTATATCCCTAGTAATTCTAAAAATCCATACAACAGGAGAAAAATTAGAAATCTCAACCCCATTTTTTGAGATAAAAATTATTTTTTATTAAAAAAAACCCACAAAAAGTCTTTAGTGTCTTCATACTTTGAAAGCAAAGTATGGTTTATTTATTTTATTCTGAGTAATCTGTCTAAAAGAGATAACAATTATTAATATTTTATATGTTTCTAGTATTTTTATCTTTTATGTATATTTATATAATTGAGGGCATCTAATTAAATATCCTTTATTCACTTATGTTGTGAAAATAGTTTTCTATCATTAAAATAATCTAAAAACATATTATTAAGAAATCAACAATTTCTCTAAAATAAATTTGCCAAAAGGCATACCATTAAAAAATAAACTGTTTCTCTAAAATGAATTTGCTAAAATTGATTTAACTTTTTCGTTTGAAAGGAATGCCTTTGCAATTTGGGGCTGTTGTAAATAATGCTGTAGCAGACATCTCTGTTCACATCTATTATTATTTCTTTAGAAATGACCCTTATAAGTGAAATTAGAAGGTCAAAATGTATGAATATTTAAACAAGTTAGCATCGTTTTTTACAAACAATATCTATAACAATAATTTTAGAATAGCAGCAGCGGGAGATAACATTGCTTGTGCTTACTATATGCCAATATACTATACGATCGTCAGTCTTACTGCATCCTCACCAATATTGTGTGTTGCTGTTAAACTATTTCTTGCCATATTGACAGGATAAATAAGAAATGAAAAAAAATAACATGCATGAAATGATTTTTATTTATATGTATGATACTTATTTAAATTACCCTTTAAAATTTTGTTAGCTATCTATATTACTCCTATGCTGTTTATTCAAGATCTTGCATGTTTTTATATTGGGTGTACTTTTTTTCTTTTAGATATTATTTGTTAAGCAAATCAGCCACTAGTTATATTTGTTGGCAAATGCCTCATTTATTTATTTATTGTTTAGAGTTGGAGGGTCTCACTATGTTGTCTAGGCTGGGCTTAAACTCCTGAGCTCCAGCAATCTTCCCAATTTAGCTTCCTAAGTAGCTGAGGCTACAAGAACCTGACACCATGCCTGGCTCTTTTGATTTAAATTTTAAGGCAGTGTGACAGCCAAGTTGACATGCAACTTACTGACAAGTATATTTTCCTATAGGTTTATTTAAAATATTTACTAGAATATGGGGTAATATGAACCATAAACTAGTAAGTATTGTTTTTTGTTTATAATATAGCACTACTTAATTTTTCTCCTTTAAAATCTAAAACATTAGTATCTCCTGGATGTGTAACATTTTAATCACACTATTTTAAGATGCATAATACAAACATTAATGATTCCTGCCTTTAAATATATTTGTATGTTTTGCTAAGACAAAATGTGTCATAGAATATTTCCAAATCTATCCTTCCAAAGATATAATTCTTACTTAAAGACAACTGGACTCAGATGACAGAAATAATTTTGGTGCCACAATAGGAACCATATATTGTAAAATTAGATCAAATCTTTGCTTTAAAAAGCACAAAGTAAAAAACAATTAGATATTTTAATGAACAAACAGAACTGACTGTGTAGTTTATTCAAGAGCCAACCACACAGGTCTCAGTTTAAAAGATGACATACTAAAATCTTAAAATAAAACCCAATTAATTATGTTATTGCATATAATGATATACAAAATAAGACTGAATTTAGACTATTATGGATATTTAATTTAATAGCAAAGAGAATAAATTTCCCCTCTTGACCAAGTACAGAATAGCAATTATTTAAAAATTAATATAACAAAGTTGTTATTCAAAATATTAACTAATGTCCTGACAAAGTAATCTATGAATTCAGTAGAATAGGAGTATTCTAAATAATCAAGTAGAAATGTTTAACAAGCAGGAACTACAAATTTAACACTAATCTATTGAAATTCTGGCTCATTAATTAATTCTAAAGAGAAATACAGCTACAAATGGGAATGTGGTAGAAAGGCAATACCTATAATGTGCACAACTATTGAAAAGGTAAGTTGAGCCATTATTTTTATTAGGAATGCTACACAGGGAAATGGTTGGGTTGCATTTATAGATCACTTACCTTGAAATTATAATCCCATTTACCTGCTCTCTGATGAAAGTAAATAAAAGAGGGGGAATTAAGTAAAGTTTAGATATAAGCTTCTGTTATATCAGTAAATGTAAATCTAACATATTTCACCTGCTGGAAAAAATTCCTAATATTTTTGTAACTCTGGGAAACATTTGATGCAGAATAAGATAGAATTCATAACAAGTATTTTCTAAGTCAACTTGCTCAGTCTCATAAAAAAGACTTATTTTTAGCATCATATTTTGCTCCCTTTTTTTCTTTGTTGCATAGTGTTTGTTGAGCATAAATGTTCTGATCTAAAATTAGATTCTCACACTGTATGTAGCTGCCTGGATGTTCAAAAAGAAATGTGATTATGTGCACATGTTGCAGGAAAATGTAAATTGCAAATTGATTGGAACACAATTGTGATGTTCAAACAGAATATAAGAAAACCTGAATAAAATAGAATGAATGGATGACAGACCTTTATAAAAATAATTTTTAACGTGTCAGTAAGATGAAACTTAGTTTTTTTCCTTTTTGTTTTTGTTTAACTCTGTGGCAATAGGCATTTCCTGGCACGGAAGTATTTGGGTAATTTATTCAAGAGATTCTAGAACAGGTAGGTATCCTGCAATTTTCAATTTTGCTAATGTTGCTCAGGTTGTCCCCAAACAGGTTAGGACAGGAATAAGGTGACAGTGAATTCAATTCAAGGTTATTTTTAAAATATTAAGGTAGGTAAGTGGAAACTCTGTATTTCAAATAAAGTTGATTAAAGATATGCATTTATTACCAACATGAGTTTAGTTTCACTCAATTAAAAGGAAAAGCAATTAAACACTAATTATATTATGATATGTATAACTAAAGTTTGTAAGCAATTAGACCATACTACAAAAGTAGTTTTATAACGGCCTGTTTATCTAAATAGATCTTATTTATTGTATAATATCTTTCCCACTATTGAGAAAAGGAGAAATTTTTTGTGAATAAAATTTGGTACAATAACGAATTGATAGTATTTAATTATTTAATTTGAAATACTACACATTTAGTTTATTAGATCATCATAACTGAAAGCATCTAATTATTTTTATTTTTCAGTTATCTCAAGAGGCAATTTAGTATACCAGAAAAATTGCTGAATTAAGTGCCAGAAATCTGGATGTTCACACTTATATACCCTATGCTTCACTTTACTAATGTGAAAAATAGAAAAAAAAAAATACTTGTCTTATAAGACTTTACTGTGAGATATTCATGAGAAAACAGATAAAAGTATATACATGCAATTAACTTTATACCCTTCTTTTTCACCCCATTATCCAAGAATTAAACAAAACCAAAGCAGCTAGACAGAGTCCATGTTTTGAGGCTTCATAACACTGTTTCCATTTTTCTCTGGATATTTCAACAATTCTATTTCTATTTATGACTTTCGATTCTAAGATTGAAAGGACTATGGGAAATAAGGTGACGAAATATTTCAGCTGTTCACACAGTGAGATTCACAATAGTCCTGATAACTAGCTTTCTTTGAATACTTTATTAGAAACCTGAAGCCTAGCTCTGCTGCTAGCAGTGTAATCTTTGTGCTTTAGTTCCTTCTAATAAAGGCTGAAAGAAGAGAACTTTATGGTACTTTTCAGTTCTGTAATTCTGTGAACTTAACAAATTTTTATTCTGCCTTGAACCTGCACCACCTCAGAGGTTTTTCAAAGAATAATAATTTTGCAGTTGCTAGCAAAAGATAAAGAATTGAATTAAAGTAGTAAGCAGCACGCATCTACCTTCCCCTGGTTGGAATGTGAGAAGAACACTGCCACTGAGCAATTATTCCTCTTTCCCATCTCAATACCTCTCATACTTTTGCTCTTTTTTCCCCGCCCTCTATGCCTCCCTCGAGGCCTTGCCATTTTCCACAGTGTATTCATGCCTTTTCCTAAATTTGCAATATTTTTCAACAGTGTATCAAAAGGCTATGGAACATACATAGATGTTTGACCACTTCTAGACCTATCCTTCTGAAATGCAAATGTGTATGTGAAAGACCTATGTTTTTTGTTAAAATACAGACTTGAATTTATTGTGATTAGTGTGGTATCTCTGATTTTGCATTTCTAACAGGCTTCCAAGTGATCCTACTAGTCCTAGAATCATCCTCTAGGCAGTAAGGGTTGGGACTTGTTTGTGGGACCCTCAATGTAAAATTTAAAAGAAAATAATGAAAAGGAATATCATATTTTGATTTTGCTAAGACTTATCGCCTTTTTAGCGACATTCTCACAAATAAAGTCACATTTCAAAGTTGAAATTTTCCTAAAGGCAATGCATTGTTCCTACAATTGTTCTATTCTCATGTGATTTCTCTACATTATGACTTAATACATTTTTTAATTGGGCAAAGTGTTGTCATTAGGCAGTTTGTCCATCATTATTTAATTCTGCAAACATAAACATATAGCAAGGTAAATTTAATTATATTGTTTAATTATTAAGATGATCAGTTTGTTTATTTAACATAAACATTTCTCAGTATTTATGGCATTTTATAAACTTTTTTGTGTATTCTAAAATCAAAGTTAACATGATACAAAATATTACAGTGCTCTGAAAACAGCAGCAGATAACTACTAGTCATCCAAAAGAGTAAATTTATAAAAGCAATGCATTTACCTTAGGAGAAACTACCTATTTTTTCCTGCTTTTCTTTTAAAATTCCTTAGTATTCAACAACCTTGCTACTGGCTGAAAGCTATTATAACAAAACTATGCATCTATCTACCTAGAATAGCTATTTTCAAAATGAATGAATTTGAGTTATGACACTGTTCACTAAAGAGTTATAAAAGAGTGCAAATATTAAAATTGATGTTCTGAAATTCAACACTGCTTCATCTTATAAAAAAGTATAGAACTATTCCCTTTTCTTAACAAATATATGATAGCTTTCCTTATGTTTATCACAAGTCCAATAAGGTTTTGGGTTCCTGGTAGATACTAAACAATAGCAACAACAACAAAAAGTTGTATTTAAAAATAAGTACCACTTGTAGGATTTCTACTCTATCTACACATTTATCTACTCTTTTCCTCAGAAAAGCGATAGCTGATTAAGGATCCAGATTTGTCTACATATATTCAGTAGAGGATATATCTTATGTAGGTTTAGTATAAAGGGTGGTGCCAACAGCTAATAGAAGAGAAAATAATTTAGTTAAGTGACTAAGATATTGAGAAGTCAAAAGAGTTGTAATAAAACATATTGGTACCACATAGGAAGGATTCAGAGTGTTTGTCTTTGATCATATCCCAAAAGATTTTGTGTCCTAAAATCCTGGTAACCTTGTATAAGTTTTAGGCTCCAAATTAACCCTACATAACTAAATCCTGTAAGAATTCTATAAGTTTTCTTGATACTCCTTAAGAAACTATAAAATCATGCAAATTAAAATGACATTTAAAAAACTTTGTAAAAAGATCTTGTTAAAATAGTAACAATACCAAAAGTTGTAGATTTTTAAAAAAATATTATTGCAGAGTATTTTAGGCCAGCTTGGAACACTGCCTCTACGAGACTCATTTACCTCTATCATATTATTTATCCTGTAATAATAAAGTTTAGTTCTTCTTTTACATAAACCATCAGCCATTTAATAATGTGGGAAATGCAACACAGATGACCAATGACCAATTCATTTTGTTAAGCAAAGAGAACTGAAGTTAGTTTGAGAGGTAGCTTCCTTATGCAGAGGAAAATATTTCTTTTTAATTAGCTCCATCTTATGGCTCAGCTGGTTTTTACACACTGCCTGGAGATAAATTCCCAACAGTAATGTTATTGTTTTCTCCCCTATTCTCTATCAGAAAGGTGTACTATATTAAGAAGAGACAGCCTTGTTGATTATGTAACTAATTAGTTTATTTAATTCTGCAGAGTACTTACAATAGTAAATAATTATTTACAGGGTTCTTTGTAATGCTAAAGGAATCTAGTTAATCTTGTTTGATTTTTTTCTTTTAGGTTGAAAAGCATAAATATCAGAGATTACGTTGGCATAAATTGTAAAACTTGAAAATATGAACATATTGTCTATATTGTCTCACTGCACACTTTGATACATAACTCTCAGATAAGCTTAGCTTGTCACTTGCTTGATTATGTTTGGCATGTACATCAAGATAAATTTTAGCACACAAAAATGATTTTATTTTCCTAATTCAAGTTTTACACTAGTGGACCAGTTTGGAAAAGACCTATTTATATGGTATGCTATTCGTATCAGATATGAGCATGTATGCCTGCCTGAAAAATCCAGTTTTGCCAATGCTTGCAATTTAAATTTTTATGAAACATAACTGAGCTTATGTGTTAAATAATAAGTAAATTAAGGAAAATACTTTACCTCAGCATCATATTCCCATAACTGATTTCCTCTCATATGGTGGCATTTTAACATGATTACAGGCCCACTGAGTCTAGAAACATCCAAGCACAAGTCATCGGTTCGGATTTCTTTGTCAGCAGTGTAAGAAAATACCTGAAAATATAAAATTCAGCTAATAAAAAAATACCTTTCAAAAAGTCACAGTATAGCAGATTTGTTTGTGAAAGCTTTCATATCAGATATATTTATATTTTAAATGATCACTGTTGTGTGATCTTAATAAAGCTAGTTCATCTCTTTTAGTCTTGTTCCTCAACTACAAAATGGGGACAGTGTCATCAGTTTTATAAGCCTTGGGTGAAGCCTCAATTTGACAAACTATATTATTAACTGGTTATTATTTTCTGGCACTGGATTTCCTACATGATACTTGCATTATAAAGTTCACACTAGCTTAAATAAAATAAAGTTTGGAAACTGCATGAATCTCAATAAAGGACATTCCTTGTTCCCACCACCTTATTACCAATTTCCCAACTCTAGAGACAATGTTTTTTTATATGGAAACTTAACTCTTTCATTCAATAACATAAATACATCGTGTAAATTTTATTAAATATTGTCAATGAAGTTCTGAAGGTTTTGGGGTTATCTTCTCCAGAGTTGTCATTAAAGGGAAATCTCAATACTTATCTCTCTAATTTGATTTGGTTAGGCTTGACTACACCAAGTCTTAAAATAGCCAAGAAATGTCAAGGTGGATTGTGAACTCATTGGTAGAGAATTCAAATTGAAACTATAATAATCTTTATCATTTTGTTCCTGGTGTGAATAATTTATTTGTAACATTGATTATTAACATTTTATAAGGGCAATTAAATACATAATTATAAAGTGTGTTTTTTTCCTTTTAGCGATGATAAGCATGGTTCAGTATTTTGTGGTTTTTTTCTTTTTGCTTGCAACGTCAAGAGGGAGAATATGAGAAAGGTCATCACACAGTCTTTTGTCTTCTTAAAGACATCTTCCACATGAGGAAGTCAGCTTTACAAATAACAAACTCTGGGGACTTCGTTTGTAAGTTGAACAAGTTAGTCTCAAAAGGGTTCCATCTGAAGCACTGCTATTCACAAGAAGTGGTGAAAGGACGCTGCAAAATGATTGAGGGAAACCAAATACCTCCCTAAGTCAATCTCTTAGAAAGAAATTCTTTAAAAGGTTATACATTCTGCTAGACAATATGAAAATTTGAGAAGCATATGAAGTTCATTTAATTGAATTATATAAACATATTATATTTTAAAACATAGGTATGGAATTCAGAAGTAAATTTTCCATCTTTATTACTTTTTTATGTTTATACTTTTAATAAAAAACACTCAGTAACCAAAATAATTTTTAAAAAATGTCCACCAAAGATAAGCATTTGTATACTCCCAGACATAGTATTTTTCTAAAACACAATTACAAACTTATTTAATTAAATAACTGAATATGGTAGTGAATCTTAAATTGAAGGAGAAAAATTTCTAGAGAATTACTTTTGCTCATTATAGGGTTATTTTAATACTGAAGGATCATCTTCCACGTTAAAACTGCTTCCTTTCAATAGTATAAAGATGTCAGAGTAAAAATAGAAGCCAAAAATCCACATTCAGCATTAATTTCCTATAACAAGGATTGTATAATAGTGATCTGAGCAAAGATTCTCCTCAGATATCTTATAGTCTGGAAACTGTACCTCTTGAAAGTTCTAGAGAGCAGTCTACCATGTTTTTTATTTATTTCTCAATTTCTAAATTAGATTCATATTTTGGCCAGTTAACGTGTGTGTGTGTGTGTGTGTGTGTGTGTACATGCACGCACGAGCACGCATGTGTGTAATATCTTCTACATTATTTCTTTGACTTTGCATGTGAAAAAAATTGAGGTTAAAATGCTGGACCACGTGTAGTTTTTCTTGAAAATAAACCTGTAGATAATGCTTAATTATTTTCTTTCATCAATATAAAATCAGAATTAATTCATTTTTATTAATAAATATCTCATTTATCATTACAAATAATATAATAATCTGGGGAAATCTCATTTTTATATTTGGTTGCTTTTAGAGTTTTTTTACTTTTTATAATAATAAAAGTCAGTACATTTCAGCATATACATATCCTTCCTGATTTTATCTGGAAAATATGGGTTTATTCTTAATTATTTATCTTTTATATTCACTGTTTTTCTACCCATAGTTGGTTTTTTTTGTTTATTTTTTCATCTACTACTGTAAAAGGTTCACAGAACTCACTTTGAGTATACTGAAACGTAATTATGAAGTACTTTGCAGAGATCTTGGCACATAGAAAAACTCAGTAGCTAATATTTAGAATTATTATTCCCAGCCTTGGAGCTAATCCCAGGTTGTGAATTTGTGCTGTGGATTTCTGCTTTGATGATCTATCCAGTACTCCTAAAGACTTTTAGGCAAGGAGCCCAGCACTGATTGCTCTTGCTTGTCTGTGCCCACCCTTCACCACTGCACATAGTCCTGAATTTGATGACAGACTTTCTCAATACTTTCAGCATAAAAGTATTTTTACATTCTGTGACCCTTTAGGTTTGCTACTTCTGCATTGTTTTATTACTCTGGGGTCAACCTCAAATCTCTTGCTGGATTTCCTGAGAAGCAGTTCCCTATGGCTATTGCCTGTTGCCGGTCTCAATGCTCCACATAGACTTTCTTGGTTGGTAGGTATAACGTGCATCCTGCTCTAGTTAAAAACTTGATGCCTGACCATAATGTTAGAAAAAAAGTATTTCAAATCTGAAAACCAATGAAGAACTTGACCTTAAACTATCACATGTTGATACTACAGTATACAAGATTGATTCTTTCACTAATAAAATTGCATTGTGTATTCTCTTACAGAAAATGGAAAGTATTTTCCCTCCTTTTCCAATTACCACTCAAGTTGTTTCATCACTGGTTACCAAAATTTATACTTACTAAGGAAGAATTGAGTTACACAAACCATAGATTTAGATACGTTTTCAGTTGTTCCGATGCCAGATGGACTTTAATGACAATTAATTGGTTCAAAGACTAATCCTTTTAATTAAGCTAAGATGACTAGAAGCAGAGTAAAATGATCAATCTTTGGGCTTCCTTCCATTATAAAAGAGGAGATAGTGATGAAATTAACGTTAGATGAACACCTACCTTTGTAAAAAAAAAAAAAGAGTGTAATATGCTTCATGCATTATATTAAATAAATTTGCCCTTTTCTTTTATTGTGCAATTACATTTATGTTTCCATGAATGTACACCAACTCACAGTATTGCAGAGCATAATAAGTAAAGCTCTTTAAATGACTTCTATGGATTTAAAAAATTCTGTTTTATACTTAATGTTCATGTTCTCCAAACATGTAAAATTATGATCTATGTTCTTATGTAGTTCATTGGTTAAACTGGATCTACAAGAAACTACTTAAGTAGCTGTGTTTTAACTCAGTTCTTTTCATTTCACCTATCTTATAAAACAGTGATAATGATAGAGATGATGGATCCTATGCTCCATTTTGTGGACCTTGTTGATTATTATGCCTTACAAAACTATAATGATTACTGTATCAATGTGGTTTTTATTGTTTCCTATTGTATTAGTTTACTAGGGCCACTATAACAAAGTACCATAGGCCGGGTGGTCTAAATAATAACAATTTATTCCCAAAAGATCTGGAACCCAGAAGTCCAGGATTATGATGTTGGTAGGGCTGGTTTCTTCGGAGACCTCTGATTTGGGCTTGAAGATGGGCACTTCCCCAGCGTGTCTTCACAAAGTAATCCTCAAATGGTCTTCATTCTGTGTCTATATGTGTCCTAATTTCCTCTTCTTTTAAAGACACCAGTCATATTGGATTAGGGTAGCCTAATGATTTCATTTTAATTTAATTACCTCCTAACAGACCCATCTCCAATATAGTCACAATCTGAGGATTTAGAAGTTAAGACTGCAACATATAAATGTGGGTAGGGGAAACACAATTCAGCTCATAACACCTATTGACTTTTTAAAATTTATTGAAAAAACAATACATATTTCCCTACTCCTTAAGGAAGATTATGGTTTGTATGATTTTTTGGCTTATTTATTTAGTTGTCTTGGATTCAATTCAGAAATTAAAATGTGCTGTTTACTATTAATGATCAAATCTCTGAATGTAATGTATATCAATGTCCCCTACTTCTTTACATTTGCCCTGATATATATGGGCAGCCAGTAGTGGGAAAAGGTGTTTTTGCTTCTACTTCTACTGTCATAAGCTTCTTTTTTGTTTGTTTGTTTGTTTGTTTCCCTGCCCACTCTCAAATTCCTCGAGTCTCCTAATCAGTTTTTATTCTTTCAGGTTGTAAAGCTATATGAGAGGTCTTGAATCGTTTTTTATAACTGCATGTTCTCCAGCATGCTAGAGATTTAAAGCTCCTGCCCTAAGACTGTTTGTGGTTTCTTAGAGATTCCCTTTCCTGAGCATCCCTATCTGCAGTACTAGTAAAGAGAACGATACGTGTTTTACAAGTGAGTCACTTTTTTGTGATTTGAAAAACCTCTTGGAGGCAAGTTGGTCACAGGTACGGTCATAAGTTTCCTCTAGTCAGTTGTCACAAGCCAGTTTTATCATGTGTCAGTAAGGTCATAACCTGCCGTACTCACCAAGTGCAAGAAGTACACAGCAAGCTCTCAAAGTGCTGTCCAACATAGTTTGCAGGGCCCATTGCAAAATGGAAATGTAGGACCTATTGTTATGAAATGATCAAGAATTTCGAGGATGGAAGGTCTTATGTGATTGCATGGGTTGTACATCCAAGAACCGTCCCTGCCCTGAGTCCTCCTTTCACTGGAAGCTAGAATTCCAGCCCTTCCCCTCTACAGGGAAGACAACTCTTTCCACAGAAAATCTTACAGTCTTTACAACATTCTGATACCTCCCATTATGGGCCAAACTGTGTCCCCCAAAGCGATGTGTTGATACTGTTGGTACTTCACCACCAGTACCTCAGAGTGTGGACTTTTTGGAAATAGTTGTTATAAAGAGACCATGCTAGAGTACAATAGGCACTTAATCTAAAAAAACTGGTGTCCTTATAAAGAGGATAGAAA